GTTTGCTCAATGTCATGTTCATTGCTTCGGTGATGCTATCTAACCATCTCATCCTCTGCCGTCCCCTTCTCCCTCTGCCTTCCATCTTTCCCAGCATCAGGGTCTTTTCCAAGGAGTCCTCTCTTTGCATTAGGTGGCCAAAGTATCTGAGCTTGAACTTCAGTATCAATTCTTCCAATGAGCAGTCAGGGTTGACTTCCTTTAAGATTGACTGGTTTGACCTCCTAGCAGTCCAAGGGACTCTATAACTCCCTGCTTTTTACCATCACAGAGACGCGGGATGAAGGGGAAAGCTCGGAAGCTGTTCTACAAGGCCATCGTCCGTGGGAAGGAGATCATCCGCATTGGGGACTGTGCCGTCTTTTTGTCGGCTGGGCGGCCCAATCTCCCCTACATTGGCCGAATCCAGAGCATGTGGGAATCCTGGGGAAACAACATGGTGGTCCGAGTGAAATGGTTTTATCATCCTGAAGAAACCAACCCCGGGAAGAAACTCAACGAAGGCAAGGTGAGTGGACAAGCCCAACCTTCTTGCAAACTAGCCAAAGTGCCAAATTTAAAGGGGGGGGGGGTGCTGGAGAGGAGCAGCTTTGGAGATCCCTGAAGAATCAATTCAAGCAAGGAGTGTCAAAGCCTTATACTAGTGTAGGCTTTCATGGCCGGTATCTTCAGGGTTTAGTGACAGTGGTCTAGATTTCCTAATGTTTCTCGCTGGCAACTGTGACTAGCATCTTCACGGGCAAGATGGCCTGACACACAGACCACAGGCAACTGAGCAGGGACTGACTGACTGGGTTCCTGTCTTTATAGCCAAGTGTCCTGTCTTCTGATTGGTCTGTAGCCAAGCTGGTGGTTCTGATACGGAGCAGAGACCAGCCCTCACCAGCCTGCACCAATTGACCACGGTCACTAAATCCTGAAGCCCAACACTGCCCAACGGTGTCAAATCCTCCCTATAGGAGGTTTACTTACTGATGGATGGGTTTTTTTGGGTGGGTGGGCAGGCAAGGGACATATTTAATTCAATGGAGCTTTTTCCCCATTGATTTGGTGAACAACTGAATGTATCAGTGAAACATTGCAGTTTGTCCAATAATGCTATGTCTCTGGACATAAGTGGAATGTTGTATTGAATATCCCTTTGTTCAGCAAGAAAAAGGAGCACATCCCAAGGGCATGGCCATGGAAAGGAAATGGTTGGGCTTGCCTTCTAATCTTCTTCCTTCCCCTTGATGGCTATTTTTTTTTTCTCTTTGACCATCCCTCTGCTTCTGCATGGCACCTGGATTTCAGCGATGGGATCAGAAATCTGCCCGGAGCTTATCAGCAGCTCTTCAAGCTTCCAGCCAGAGAAAAGACTTCATGGAGGTATGTAGGCTGATAGCCCCTTTTCTGACTCATGAATTTCTTTAAAAGGCAGAAGGTTTTGGGAACTGCAGCTGATGCCTTCTGATAACATTTGTAGTTAAAAAAAGCTCCTCCTGATGTTTTGCTACCCTAGACTATAGACAGCTCTCCTCCAACAAGAAGCCTAGAGGGGGAGGGGGAGAGAAGTAAAAATACAAGAAGGCAAAGAGTGCTCCTTGGATGAGTCAAATGATATCAGGGAGCAGATGGGAAGGTCTGAGCCTCACACTCTAAAAGGAAGCTGTAGATAAGGACTCCAGGGTTAGCTGATGGGAACGATTCCAGCCCACAGAAACAGAATAAGAATCGCTCAGGGAGAGACGGGGAGACCATCTTGCAGAACTTCTTCCCCATCAGTCAAACAGCTAAGGCAAAATATATTGAGTATTATAACTCCATCGGTGGCCTTAAAAATTCAGCACCAAGTGGCTTGTAGCATCTTAAGGAGAAGCCAGTTTTTGGTGGTGTATGCTTTGGTAGGTAATGATCCATTTCTTCACAATCCATGGGTTTAGCGGAGTGGGCTGTAACTAAGGTTGTTATGCATCTGTTAGACGTTGAGGCAGAAGTTGGTTACCTCTTCAAGATCTGGGTACTGTTGCAACAAGATGACCCACATGCCTCAATTATTTAAGGACATTTTTGGAGGATTTGTGGGCAATGTTTCCTGAGTGATGGGTGCCCGGGGCTCTTGTGGGCACCAACTGTGTTGCCAACCCTTGCTTTAAGATGCCACAATATCCTGCTGTTGGTTTGGTGGCAACAGAGCGACTAAAAAAAAGTTTTCAGTTCAGTCCTTTCTTAGTTTTGTTAAGAACTTTTGATACGTTTAGGCCTTGTGCTTTGGAGAACAATGTAAAGAAGATAGACAAGAGTAAATGGGAATGAACGGAAATGAGAGGGGGGATAATAATGGGATCGAATAATGGGAGAATCTCAAACGTTTGGTGACTAGGAGATGCAGGGACCTTAGAAGGTCTCACTCTTTCTTTGCTTTAAAGCCCAGAGGGAGCGTTCGGCATATGTTCTAACATTTTGCTCTGCCTCGCTCTTCTCTTTCTAATCCAGCGGGCCTTATATCAGTCCTCCCACGTGGATGAAAACGACGTTCAGACAATCTCGCACAAATGTCTGGTGGTCGACTTGGAACAATACGAGCAGATGCTTAAAACGAAGAAGTACCAAGACAGCGAAGATTTATACTACTTAGCAGGGACTTACGAGCCCACCACGGGCATGATATTCAACACCGACGGGGTCCCAATCATTTGCTAAATGGCTTTGGGAAAGAAAACGTTGGAGGCACCTCGCACCCTGCCTCTCTCGGAGGAAGAGAAATGAGACGGAATGAAAGTTATGTGCCTGTTGAAACGACAGCATGATTGTGTAGTGCTCAGTCACAATGTTTCCAAAACTAAAAAAAGAGAAAAACCTGCAAGAGATTTCCCCCCCATCTCCAGGAGCTTCTTGACATTAACTCAGAGTGATGGATTGGATTCTGTGGCTCCTGAAAAGAATGAAGTTGGGATTTTTAAGAAAATTAATTCCCACGTAGGCAGTAGGCTTGTTTTCTGCCCTTTGCAGTACAGTATTGGACTACAGGCAGCTCCATCATTAACCTTTGAGTTTGAACATTCATAGGTTATTTCATAAGATGCCAATATCTGGGGGGAATTGGCGTTCTTTATCTTCAGGGTACCGGTTTTATCTGCCCTCACCAACTGAAAACTCAACTTGTAGAAGAATACATGGTTGGTTTAGGGACAGCTTTGAGCAAATGCCAATCAAGAGGTGGGTTGGGCCCCTTTTTTCCCCACCTCTCTATCTCAAAAAACTGCTCTAGCAGAGGACTGGTGCGAAGAAACAACTGTAGAAGTCACGGCCAATAAGATTGTTGCTGGAACAACAGTTGTCCCACTTCCCTTTTGAGTTACAAGGACTAGAGCAGGTGGTCCAGAAATCCACCGCTGAATTTCATTTATTCTTTTTTGTCACCCTCTGTCTCCAAACACTTGGAATTAGGAAGGAGCCTCTTTCTCTTCTAAGGAAATGCTGTTCAACGGAAATACTTCCTCCCTCATGTAAAGTATGTTACTCTACAGTAGGTCCAGCTTGGAAAAATGGTTCCTCATCAGACGTTCATAAATATTGGGGGGAATATGTATCTGAAAAAGTAGGCTTGTTCGATTCCTTGCTACTCCCACCTCAAGAAACATTTTAAACAGGGCTTGGACATGGTCAACCAGCCCCTGAAGACTACTGGATGTTCATTCGGAGCAAAATGCTGAAGCGTGCATCCTTCTTTCTCACCATTACCAAAACACAGCACTTGCAGGACGCACGTAATAACCGTTGGTGGGTAGTGCTGGGAAACACGCCTGGGTCTTGTTGCAGGATCATCTGCGCAGACCTCATCCCAGATTTGCCATTTCTCAACCATCCAGAAATTGAGCTGCTGTTTCCTGCCCCAAGGGTGGAGAAACCTGAACATTGCCACCTGCCTGATTCAAGCTGGAGGCAAGGCCCAAAGGTCTGCTTGGGTGTGGGGCTGACGCAAAGGTTCAGAGGAGGCCAGAGAGGGACATGGTGACGATGAGAATCACAGTGTTTTTGCACTTAAGAAAAACCCCAAACTCCTACACTACAAGAGCAAGACACCACAATTGTTTCTGCTATGGACAGATGTACCATTCCAAGCACTACGACAGGGAGATGATTCTACCTAACCTACATGGACAGGTTTTTCTTTTATCTTTTGCTATCTGCTATGGTACAAGAGGAACGCTACCCTTAGAATCCTTTCACAACTTCCTTTTAAGAACCACAGTGGTGCTGTTGCGTGTTGCCTGCCTTCTCCACTCCACCAGATTCCAGCTTTGAAGCCTCGGGTGGATAACCTTTCTAGATGGACAACGCCTGGCCTGTACAGTTTTCATATACCCAAAGACTCATTTGAGCCCTTTTCCAATCTATTGTAAAAACCTCTTTCAGAAAACAAAAATGGAGGAGGGGGAGGAAAAAGAGAGAGAGAGAGAGAGAGAGAGAGAGAGAGCAGGAAAAGAGAAAAGGACGAACAAAAAAGCAAAAACGGATTTACCTTTTTAATTATAAATATAAAATATAAATATATAAATATATATAAATATATAAACTTTTTAAAAAAACTGTGAAAAAAAAATTATGGAAATTATAAAAGCAAACACAGTCTGACTCTTTATTTTTTATTTCCAGTTGGAATTGTGACTGTAAAAAAAAAGAAAGAGAGCGAGCGAAAGAAAGAAAGAAAGGAAGAGAGAACACAGGGGAATAGGACAGCCAAACTTTGCTTACAGACTGTGTACTGTATCATAGAAGCGACTCGCGTGAGCAAAGGTTTATAAAGAGAGAAGAAAGAATTGTATGCGAATGTTAAATAGAAAGCACTTAACTGCCCACTGCCTTCTATGAAACACACGGATTTTTGCAGACAATCGAGAGGAATGGAGCCAGGTGTTTATTGTCCTCCCCCCCACCCTTCCGTTGTTTTGTGTTTTTTTAATGTTTTCATTTGTTTCCCACTTTTTTTTTTTTTGCATTCTGTTTGTTGCCGAATGATGTGTGATTCTTTTTCATAAAAAAAAAAAGAAAAAAGAAACATTGAAAAAACAAACCTTACGGGATTCTTCCGTTTTCTTTGCCTCGACTTGCGTGGTGGCAGCGTGCGCCGATCTCCCTACCGCCATGACCTTGGGATGTTCTTGAGTTGTTCCAGAAGGTTGGTTCCCAAACCCTACCCTGATTTCAAATGGCTTGAAATGGTCTCTTTGTGCCTTCCTCTGTTTGAAAGATGACTCTGTGCATGCAGAAATCAGAGCCGTGGTGGTTGATGCGCTCCGAAACAAAAGGGTATTATGAAATTAGATTTTTTTTAATTGGATTTTTATGATGATGATCCTGGAAGAGTGGCTGGCAGGCAGAAACAGAAAAGAACCCAGGTTTGAGCACTGGCGGCATTCACATACAACACTAAGCCAGGCTTAGTTTTACCCATGGTTTTTGGAGACGTGGCCCTCCTGGAGACCAGGACCTGGCAAATCCTGTTTTCCCTCTGGTTCTCCAGCCAGCACCCAGAATTTTAGACTGAGCACAAAAACCAGACTCTGGATGTGGTTGTCATAAACCAGCAGTCCTCATCTTGTAACAAACCATGATTTTTTTTCCTGAGATGAATCTGTAGATTGGACAAAGCCAGAAGCCAGTCAACCCACCAGCCTACCAGATATTGGCTTAGTGTCTGGTGTGAATGAAGTCTTGAAGTTAAGGATTTGCAACGTCTTTAAAGGGCCATTTCATAACATGGTCCTGCAAGTAACATAACCCAGATAAAGTGCCACGTAGAGCAAAGCCTGGTTAGTTTGCTGCAAGTAGCAGACAGTTAGGTTGCTCTGCAGTGCTGCAGAGTCGGGCCAGGCATACGAGCACATGGGCTGCTCTCTTGTAGCATTTGTGTGCCATGCACAACTGGAGGGCATGCGTTTATCCCTAGCCAGAGTCTCAGTCCTTTGCACTGATTAGAATGGGCAACCTGTGACTTTTGTGCCCCAAATGCTAATTTGAAACACTACCTGTGTAAACTCCGTTCAGACCTGGGAAGAGCCACTATCCAAGGGTGTCATGTCAAAAGGAAAAGAAAAGAGGCAAATTGCTGCAACTTTTTGGAGTCCAGATTCCTGCCAACTGAGCCAGTTTACAACACTGGAACCCTCCTTGTTTTATGGAATCCTTGCCTTTGCTTCTTAGAACGCGACCTGCCACCTCTCCAGATCTTTTGATAATCTTGGTCTCAGGAGACCCATGATCTCCTGGCTTCTGATGTCCCCTGGTGGAGGGATGATGGTGACATTTGTCCCGGGGTGGGGTGCTGGCCGCTGCACAAACTATAGAAGGTGGTGCAAAGGTATGCCCTGTCTCTCTTTCACTCCTGTTCTTCTGGAAGGAATTCAAGCACAACGTTTCAGCCTGGGTGTGAGGTGTGGGTGGGAAGAACCCAGCTGAATAGTGGAATTGGGCATAAACACATGGACAATGTTAAGTCCATACCAGAGAGAGGAAGAGGAGGAGGAATCTCTGGCCCGTCCCAGAAGGCTTTTCTGCCCTGGCCTTAGCCTGTGGTTTTAGTGTCCCGTGGCCATGAGTGAAGATGCATGGATTGTGTTTGCCTGGGACGCTTTAACTGTCAATGGACCACCCTTGATTCAGTGAAACGGGTTAGGGCTAGAGGTGGTGCGTGTGCCAGACAGACAAAACAGATTCTGGCCAAAGCGATTCTGGCCAAAGCAGGCTTGGAAAATTAGCATGAGAGCTACTTCTCACATTGCTAGAAATAATGGTTACTAAAATGGGGTATAGATGCAGGTTGCCCCTCGCAAACCAAAGAGGCACACTTCCAGCCCTCTACATAGGATAAAAGGCAAAGAAACGGGCAAATGTTTTGCCACCTTAAATAGCCAATGACAGCCAGTTTGGTGCAGTGGTGAACACACCAGGCTAGAAAGTGGAGACCGTGAGTTCTAGTCCTCCTTTAGGCACGAAGCCGGCTGGGTGACCTTGAGCCAGTCACTCTCTCTTAGCCCTAGGAAGGAGAAGGCAAGGGCCAACCACTTCTGAACTCTTGCCAAGAAAACTGCAGGGACTAGTCCAGGCAATCGCCAGAAGTCAACGATGACTCGGAGGTGCCAATAAATAAATAAATAAATAGTGCATATATAAGAGTCTCACTTGAAAGTAGGATGTTCCCTGGCATTCTTGTGATAGAACCTCAACCAAACTTCTAATACGGACTGTTCATCAGAGCTCTGAGATTCTTGTTCCTTGGATTAACTGTTTCCACTCTAGGCTTCAAGACTGGAAGTTTAACACTTAGTGTTCTTCTAGGACAAAGAGTAAGGAGAACAGGATGTAGGATGATGGGTCTGAATCTGTCTTCCTGCTTTGCTGTTTCTCATTTCCATTTGAGACTGTTAGTCATCTCTTAACTTGTGGTGGTCCTGGAAACTGGGAGTGGAATGAAGCCTTGGTCAATGAAGGATCCCCTATCCCCCCTCCCTTGGTTTCCTTTCCAGATCGCTTCCACCCACAAATGCAGGCACTCAACATCATTGCCCAAGATCATGAGCAATTCTGATTCTTCTAGGCATTGTATGTATGTAAATGTGCAAACTGGCTGAAGATGGGACAATTCTTGCCTCTTGAAAAACAGGTGGTGCTTTCAGTATTCCAAAAAGCAAACTGCTCCCAGAAGCAAATCCGGAGGTTGCTGGTACTCAGCAACATTGCCAGCTTCCTCCCGAGAGAAGCCCGTAGAATCTTTTAGATGATGGAGGTATAGAAACAGAACAGATAAATTGTTTTACTATTTTATTAATCAAATTTATATGCCGCCCATCTCACTGTATAAGTGACTCTTATACAAATACATCTGGAGCTGGGTGGGATATATAGTCAGGAGAGATACAAAGCAACAGGATCCATCTGTGGCTTGAAGAGACCTATGCTTCATGGATCTTGGCTTGGGGCAAGCTGATTTTGTTGGAATGGTGGTGGTAGTAGAGACGACCCAACTTAAAAAATACTTTCAACCGGACTAAAGAAATGTAAAACGAACACCCTGTTGTCCGTGATGATGCAGCAGAAGAATTCTACTTATCCACAGTTAAGTGGACAACGTAGAAGTGGAAGCAAACAAGGGATAAGAGAAAAAAATCTTCAACATTCCTTCTGGTCTTTGGTTTCATACAGCGTGGCTCTTCTTAGCAAGCCAACACAACATATCTGTTGCCTTTTTTTTTTTTTTTTTTACAACTTCTACAGATTTTAGGAGATAGATGTGGAATCTCATATCTGAATGTCCCACTATCACAGACAAAAAACGAAGTGGTCAGGGAGAAAATTAGAATCCTCTCCTGCATGCTATCTTTCTCTATGCAGGGAGTTATCTTTTCTTAATGGAAGAGCAATCAAATAAGAGATTGTATTTTAAATGTTAGAAGGGTGCATTGCAGGAAAAGCCACTCATACCAGCTTTTGTGTCCTGTCCCTGCGGAAAATAAGAATCCTCATTTGTAATTTTGATTTTAATCTAACAACTCTGGGATATGATGGAACTTGGTATGGAGGTTTATGTTGGTGTAGCTCCAGCAGAAAGAATGCTTTATTCACAAGCCTTTGAAATATGCCTCTCACCTCCTCAAACCTCCCCAAAATTTCAGGGGAGTTCCATGAAAGGAAACGAAGCTTCTGAGCCAATGGCTTTTTACCTCGCCCTCTTTTGCACCCTAAAAACACAGTGCCATGTGCAAAAGCCACTCCACAGCCCATCAGGCTGTCACAAAGACCAGGAATTGACATCATCATCGTGGGAGACAATGTGTCTTCAACTGTTGACTAAGCAGCTGCCTAAAAAACTAAGCAAGAGACAGCAAAGGGAGCCTCTGTCATGACGACATGGGCAAGATGGTACTCTGACCGGTGGACTCGATTGCTACTACGGATAACTGTATAGGACACGAAGCAGTCCACGGGAGAAAGCCTTCCTGCTCAAACTTGGTTGAGCAAACAGGAACAACACAACCTGCACAGGAAAGTAGCCACATGGATCATACCCATGTGAGTATGAGTATGGGTGTCATACACATGGTCATGGGTAAGGATGTGGCTTGGATTTTCCATGCTGATCCTGAAAGCTCCAGGGCTGTGCCTGCAGGGGGCATCGAGTCACAGGCTCCCTCCCTTTCTTGCCTGGTATGCCTCGACATCAGTACTCCATTTCTGGTCTGGTCAGTTCCCATCTGGGATGGAGGCATTGTAGTTCTCTGGGTAGACACAGGAACTTGGAGAAATGCTGGTGAGGCTGTAGGCAGAGTAGGCTACAACAGAGCCCAGGGTCAGCCCTGTCATGTAGGATACAGTCATGGTGTTACCTGGGAATGAGAAACAGAGAAGAGATGGTTACAAGGAGAGGGCAAGGATGTCCCACAGCCCATGATGTTGCCTGCAAAGGATGGAAATTACACAATTGACATAATTTGCAGGATGATGTTATGATGTGCATGTCTTCATTTGAGGGATGACTACATACCAAATGGAGTGACATCATGGCTTCTACCAGACATCTATGATTGCAACAAATTAAGTTTTGTAACCATCATCACGGCCATCACCATCAGGGGCTGCACTCCATTCGATCATTAATATGGTTAGTGTTTTTCAACCTCAGCAACTTTAAGATGTATAGACTTCAGCTCCCAGAATTCCCAACTCTAACCCCAGCTGGGGAATTCTGGGAGCTGGAGTCCACACATCTTAAAGCTGCCAAGGTTGAAAAACATGGTTTGGATCAATCACTGCAAGTCTAGGATGGACTTCCTGACTGCATCCACAGGATTTAGACTTTATCAAACACTCTGGACTTTTTACCTGGAGGCTCGGGGGCCAAAAGAGGTTATACATTAAAGCACCACCTGACTGGTAGCACTGGGTTGCTGAACTGTATCAGCTGCTGAAATAGTTTTTTTTCTGAACAAGAAAGCAAGGAAGAGGATAATTAAGCCATTGGCTAAATTTCAAGGAAGGTGGTGGTCATAGGCAACTGGGAAAGAGCATGATGATGTCAAGCACATCATGTGTTCATCGTGCAAATGATGCAAATCCCAGAATTTGCATTACACAGGGACCTGCATGACATCACTTGCCTCTTCAACCCCATGGATTTATTTTAATAATAATTCTCCTTCTCAACATGGATGGATGGATGGATGGATGGATGGATGGATGGATGGATGGATGGATGTTCTCTACAAGGTAGTTGCTATAATAAAATAATTAAGTGGAGCTGATGCCAATATTGTTGCATCTGGTCTAAAAACTCATACTGGCTTTCTTTTCTGGCAACTGTCTCGCAATTCTTTGGGGGAGAGATGGATAACTATTGCCCTGACCTGCTAATTCCCGCTGCTCGGGGCTCACTTTGCCGGCAGCCAAGATCATGGGGACGCTGCCAAAGTAGCCATTGGTGATGCCCATCAGGAGCGAAAAGATGCATGCCCAAGCTGGGTGGCTGAAAGTGGGCTTCCCGTTGGGGTAGACGCACATGATGAACAGAGGGATGAAGATGACGCGCAGGCAGGAGTAGAGGAGGAGGTGGGCTCCCCTCCAGTCATAAGGCAAGGCAGCCAAGATCTGGAAATGCAGAGAGAGAAAAAGAAGAGCTTATGATCTGCAGAATCCACAAGCAAAATATAAGATACTTCCTGGATCTGACTTAGGCTCCATGGAGACTTTCTCCCACACGAAGGCAAAGCCAGCTGTCGGGATTCACAGGTAGACTGGCACAGGGTTGAGAGACTTGCTTAACCTGACAGCTAGCAGCCGGACTTGTGATTTGGTGCCACGCTACAACACAGGCAGAGGTAAGATTCCAGCTGGTATTAGTTCAAACCCCTTCTGAACCTGCAAACTTTGGATGTGGCCATCCATCTATTTTCAAGCAACTTTTTCCTAGTTTCAGTCTCTCTGTGAGAGAACAACTCAGACCTCTGGTTGGAATGCAACGTCTCCACTGGGCAGCTTGGGGAGAGAAAGGAGAAGGCCAGAAACAGAAAGGGAGAGAAGGGCACAAAGAGGTCCTTGTCCCCCCCGACCTTGACCTGACCCACTGCTCGCTTCCTCTCTGCTCACCTTGTGACCCCAGTAGGGAACCTCTGACACAGCATACCAATCCCAGATCTTGCTTGTCCACGATTCCAGATGATGGATGTCACCTGTGACCTGATCCTGCTGACTAAGGCTTTTTCTCATTCACAGCAATGCTCAGCCACAGAGCCGTTCTGCAGGATCCTAGCAAAGCTAGCTCCTTTGCAGCTGCAATTTCCAGATGTTCACTTGCGGTGTGTCAAGTAAGCATCTGCTCTGAAATTGCAGTCTCTCTTGCCATGCCTGGCCAGAGCTCAACTTCCAGAGAATCCTGGCTCTTGCTTGGAAAAGGCAGTGAGTCTCTGGCTGGGTTGGCAGGAAAGATACTTTAAGGTCCTTCCTAATGAAAACTCAGATGCGCTTCATAGAGCATCCTGCAAGCAAGGAGGGAGGGAGGGAGGGAGGAAAGAAATGTCATAGCCCAGGACTCAGAGTGACTCTAAAGAAGCTGCTGCAGCTGTACCAGTGGAATGTCAGCCTCAGGAGACACCAAGCCAGGAATCACCTGAGGCTGATCGAACACAGGCACCATCAGAACAGTTGGAGTAGTCAGATGATGACGCATGGTCTCCAAGCCCTCAGACTCCGCAAGTAGAGCGGAGAGCAGAGCAATGATACTCAGTGAGGCTCCTTGCCAAGCAAGGCAGTAACTCTCTTGATTAAAGACAGCTGGCTGCAGCCTGATTTAAGAGGCAGCCCTGACCCTTGCTTCTCTGTTGGAAACAACCATCTGATCTCCTGCTCTGGTGTGTTGTTGCTCCTGTGAATCCTGTTCGTGAAACTCTGATCTTGGACTGGCTGACAAATCTGACTCTGCTCTCTGAACTTCAGAATGGATTTTGACTAGTACTCTTCTGCCTGCTCCTGTTGCAAGCGAAACCACCTAGGCAAGCTTTCTTTCCCAGAGACTTTGTTGGTTTACATTCCCTTTTTGTTTGCCATAATCTGCTCAGCCTTGAGTAAATTGCTATTTTCATCTAGCAATAGAGTGTGTGAGTTTGAAACCTGAACCAGGACAGGAAATGGAAAAGGGAGGGAGGGAGGAAGTTAGAAGGAGGAAGGAAGGAAGGAAGGAAGGAAGGAGATGGAAATGAATGGAAGGAAGTAAGTCCAAAACAGAGTCCACTAATTTTAAGATTATTAATCTCATAACCAGGAAAACTAATCCTGGATGTACATTATTCTATAAAGCAGACCTCTAATTATATTATATTATATTATAT